GTTTGTTTTATTTCTGTAATGTTTATAGTGATGTAAAAAAAAAAAAGAAATCATTGCCCAATCCAAGGCCATAAAGAGTTGTGCTCATGTTGTTTTATAGTTGTTGCTCTTATATTTAGGTCTTAATCATTTCTTATTTAATTTTTGTGCATGGTATAAGATAAAGCACCAGTTTCATTCTTTTGCCTATGGGTATCCAGCTGTCTCTGCATCATTTGTTGAAAAGATTATTGTTTTCCTATTGAATTGTCTTGATACTCTTGTCAAATATCAAGATATTAAATGCCTGGGTTTGTTTCTGGATTCAAAATTTTATTCCATTCTTAGGCCAGTAAATATCGAGTCCATAAATAAACACTTAAATATCTGGGTTTATTTCTGGACTCAGAATTTTATTTCATTCTTCCAGTAGCAGTCTCTCCTGATTACTGTAGCTTTGTACTAAGTTTTAAAATCACAGTGTGTAAATTTCCCAGCTTTGATTTTTTTCTTCAAGATTGCTTTGGCTATTTGGGGTTCCTTATATTTTCATATGAATTTTAGGCTCAGCTTGTCAATTTCTGCTCAGCTACCTGGGATTTTGACAGGGATTGCATTGAATGTATACATAAGTTTGGGGAATATTACCGTCTTTACCATTTTAAGCCTTCCAATTCATAAACAGAATTTCTTCTCATTTATTTAGGTCTTCTTTAATTTCTTCCAGTGATGTTTGGTAGTTTTCAGCATACAAATCCTCTACTACTTTTGTTGCATAAATGTTAGGTCTTTAAAATTTTTGATGGCATTGTACGTGGAATTGCTTTCTTAATTTTATTTTTGGATTGTTAATATATAAAACACAACTGAATTTTGTGTATTTATTACATATCTTACAAATTGGCTGAACTTGTTTATTAGTTCTAATAGTTTTTTATGGGTTCCTTAGAGTTTTGTATATGCAAGATCATGTCATCTACAAATAGGGATAGTTTTACTTCTTCCTTTCCAATCGGAATCACTTTTACTTATTTTTCTTGCCTAATTTTCTTGGCTATAATCTCTAGTTCAATGTTGAAGGAGTAAGAGCAGACATCTTCATCTTGTTCCTGATTTTGCAGTGAGGTGGGGAGGGGAGGGTTGTAATAGCTTTCAATCTTAATTGTTAAGTAAAATTTTAAATTGCTGTTTCAATCTTGTTTTAAGTCTATTCAGATTTTCTATTCCTTTCTGGGTCAGTTTTGGTAGTTTGTACCTTTGTAGAATTTTGTCTGTTAGAATTGTTTGCAGTATTCCGTAATAGTTTGTTTTATTTCTGTAATGTTTATAGTGATGTCCTTGTTTTGTTCCTGATTTTGATAATGTGAGTCTTCTCTCTTTTTTTCTTGGTCAGTCTAGCTAAAGGTTTGTCAATTGTATTGATCTTTTCAAAGAGGCAACTTTCAATTTCTTTGATTCTTTGTATTGTTTTTTATTTTCTATTTCATTTATTTTCACTCTAACCTTGATTTTCTGTTCCTTCCCTCTGCTTTCTTCGGACTTCATTTCCTGCTCTTCTTTTATTTTTCTTAAGGAGAAAGGTTTGGTCATTGATTTGAGATCTTTCCCTTTTTTAATATAGGTATTTTACAGCTATACATTCCTCTCTAAGTACTGTTTTCACTATATCCTATAAGTTTTAGTATGTTACTTTTTTTGATTCATCTCAAAGTATTTTCTAATTTTTTTGTGCTTTCTTCTTTGACCCTTTATTTAGGAGTATGTTATTTCATTTCTCATGTATTAGTGAATTTTCCAGTTTTCCTTCTGTTATTGGTTTCTAATTCTGTTCCATTGTGGTTGGAGAACAGGAGATTGTCTCCTGTTCTAGGGTTTGTGATTGTTACTCTTTATTATTATTGCTTGTTTAGTGACTTTTCTAAACTAATTGTGTAAAATTCATGTTCTTTGTTGTGTGTGGCCACTGAAGTCTCTGCTAGGTTAGCCTAGAGGTCAGCTAATGATTAGACAGAGACTTCCCTAGGTTCCTGGATCCAATCATTCTCTTAGTCTTTGCCAAGGGACTCTATGTGTTTTGGGGCATGCCTCCAACACTTGGGCGGGTAGTTCACAACTCTGCAGTAGCCTTTCCTTCTTATTTGCACAGAGCCTCAGTTAGGCAGAGGTGAAAGCTTACAGCAGTCTCAAATCTTTCCTGAGCATGTGAAGAACCCTGGGCACAGCCCTGTGCATGCTCATGGTCTGTTAGATTCCCAGAGATATCTAGGGGCTTTTCAAAGCCCACTGTGGATGTCTCGTTCCCCAGCTTTTCCTTTTATGCTTTTTGGTTAACTTATTACTTGTCCCAGCTGTCATCTGCCACTTCCAGCAACATGATTTAATAATTGCCTCTAATTGTTTTCGACAAACACATCCAAGAAAAAAGTTATTCACGCTGGGTAAGCTCAGATTCTGGTAAAATAAAGGCAGCCTTGAAAGTGGAGTCTTCTAGGAAAGCATCAGACAGGTCAAATAATAACAATTCTATGGTAATGAACTTGGGAGGTCCTCCAACCTTGTTCTGCCTCCTCTGGTGGCTGCTAGCCTGCTGTTTTTCAATGTGGTTGCATGCTGCTAGATTTCAAGGCTACTCCAGACCTGGCAAGAAGGAGTAAAAATAGGGAAAGTTAAAACTCCACAGAGTTCCCTGTTCTCACTAAGGTCCAACTGATTTTTTTTTTAAATAGACATTCCCTGGATTGCTGCAAACCTTAGGTTAATTCCAGAGCTCTGAAAAAGTTGATTCTGACAATTTTTTGCTGTTGTTCTCAAGGCTTCTATAAAAAATAAAAATTGCAGAAGTCCTTCCTCCACCATTTCATTGATGAGCAGGCCAGTTTTTAACCTGCATGTGCACACCTATATTCAGTGGCTTGTTAAGGAAACTATGCTTACACTCAATGGCTTATGAGGCCTCTTTTCCTCCATTGAATTGTTTCTGGATTCCCTTGGTAGGAGCCAGTGAGATCTGGACTGCCAGCCAGGGCACACGTTTAGTCTTGCACCAGTCTTGACTACATGACCTTGGGACAAAGGAGCTGAGATTTCCAAAGCACCTGCTGTGTGCCAGGCCCCGTGTGCTGGGTATTTTATGTACACTCTGTCACATCATTCTTGCAACAACCAAGAGATAACTTTCTCATTTAACACATGAAGAAACCAATAAGATGCAAAGCACTTAGCACTGTGCCCGCAGCTCATGGCAAATGCTGAATGTGTTGATTATTGCTGCCCCATTGTTGTTACGTATAAGCTATTACTGTCAGAGGAGGAAGTAGAGTTGGGATTCTCAAGGTCCTTTGGCTTCCAGTCCAGGGCTGTCTGATTCCAAAGCCCAACCATAACTTACATCCCCATTCCAGCTCCTCTGAGTGAGTCTGTTCCCACTCTGGGCCTCACTTTCCTTGTCCTGTCAAATGAAGGATTTTGAATGACTTAAGTTATTCAAGCAACAAGCACTTACTAAATTGTCTTGCCACTTCCAGGGTGACATTATGGAGTTCTGTGATTCTGCAAGATTAGTTGCCTAGAGTCACATCAGTGGCATTCTCTTATTTAGCTTGAAGACTAAACCGACAGGTAGACTGGCAGGTGTGTTACCCAGTGTGTTTCTCTCCCCCTCCTTTCTCGCTCTGCTCCTTCCCCCTGCAGAGGCCAGAGGGGACAAGGTCAAGTGGGTGTTCACCTGGCCCCTCATCTTCCTCCTATGCGTCACCATTCCCAACTGCAGCAAGCCCCGCTGGGAGAAGTTCTTCATGGTCACCTTCATCACCGCCACGCTGTGGATTGCTGTGTTCTCCTATATCATGGTGTGGCTGGTAAGTGGCGGGAGCAGGGGGTGGACAGTGTGCACAGCCAGGGAGAGGTGGGGAACTGAGTTCAAGGCTAACCACAGGTACTGCTATGCCACCTTTGGGCAAGTCACTGGCCTCACTGACCACAGCGTATTTCTCAGTAGAAAAGGGTTTGAATGACGTGCATGACTCTGAGCCAGGTACCCGGGATGCAGACACACAGCACAGTGCCTGCCTTTGAGTGTGAGGGAAGGAGACCAACCTTCACACAGGCAGCCTAAATCACAGTGCTAATTTAGGCAGCCTAAATCACTCTGGTGTTACAGGCAGAGCAGTATGACAGGTGGATGATCACCAAGTCCCCTTGGTTTCCAGGGTCCTGAGGGAATGTGAAGGAAGGAGACTGGAGTCAAGGGAGATGAGGTTGAACACAAGGCAGCTTGTTCCATGCTCCTGCCCAGGAATGCTCCTCCCTGCACTGATGTGCTGGATGCTGGTTTAAGTCCTTCACATAAACTCTTTCTTATCCTCATAACAACCCCAAGGGATGGGTGTTATTATCCCCGTCTAGCAAATGGGGGAAATCGAGGCATAGAGAAATTGAGTAATTTCCGCAAGGTTACACAGCTAGTGAGTGCTAGAGTTAGGATTAGGACCCAGGTATTGATCTCCTAAGCCCATGATCTCAGCTACTACTGTAAGCTGCCTCTCAGTTTGCTACTGGACTTTTCACATTTCATTGGATGGGAGTTTTACGGGCAGAGAGACATTGGTGTAGCTCCTCATAAGCTCCTATGGTCACACAGGACAGGTCCCCATATAAACCTTTCATCAGCTGGGCTGGGCTGGGTCAGGTCACACAGGAGCCTCCCTCCCCACTTTCTGTGTACCACCTAATGGGGTCCCCACTTCTCCTCCTCATTCCCAGGAGCAAAGAGAGGGAAGCAGTTCCAGCATGGCTGCAGTTCTGTTGATTGTGAAACTCACTCTCAGCCCCTTACACCCTAGTAATTAGCATCAAGTCCCTTTGTTCTCCTCCTAATGCCTGACACCAGCAGCAGAGAAGGCAAGAAATCTTGATGTGAGAGACAGCAGGGCCAGTAAATGTTCCATGCTGGCCAAGGGGCCACCTTTCCCTTAACTCCAGAGAAACCGTGTCGTTTAGCGGGGAACAAAGGATCCTGGATCACATGAGAACAGTGCTGAATCCTAGTCCTACCTCTTGCAAACCACGGAAGCTGGCGACTCCCTCTATGAAGTGGGGTGATCATCGCTCTCACAAGGCCATTGGGAGAATGAAAAGAGAGCCCAGCACTTTCTAGGCATTTGGCCAATCCTGTCTCTTCCCTCCCCGCAACCCAATCACACCTTCCCCCATCCCTCCCAGAGCATTACTGGGATTCTGAACAGTGTATGGGAGCCATTTTGCCTGTGCTTTCCTGAAATCCTACCCTTTGGCCGCCTCCCTCATCTCAGATGCTTCCTCAGGCTGATCAGAGACCTGCCCCAGCCTCTGTGAGTGTCCTTACACCTACTCGTGCAGCAGCCCTCCTGTCCCTGTGGCAGAGCCTCCCCAAGACACCAGCTGGTGGAAGGCACTGCCCCCAGCCTGCTCCCTTTCTCCCTTTCTCCTGGTACCCGCTTAGAGTTCTGTATCCCAAAAGAAAGCCCACGATGGACTCTGATTGTGTTTTAGTCAATGAAACAAGTCATGTAACTCAGGAGGGGCAGAACAACTCCAAGCCTTCAGGACCCCAGCATCTGCCCCAGCCCCAGACACACACACTTGGAACACCTTGGCCTTGGCTCAGCTGAATGCGGGACATGGGAACACTTGAATATTCAAGTCCCCCAGGACCTCATTCATGTCCCTCCTGACCACTCCCTTTCATACACTACTCCCAGCCCAGAACAGTTTGGTTAGACCGTGTCAGAAGCATCCAGTAGTTAGCCACTTATTGAAACCAACAGCCAATTAGGGGTGATTACCTGGTAACAGTTGGATGATCATGAGCATCACGGAATAATACACAGTTTGGCCACTAAGCAGTGCGATTTCTTATAGTGCCTTTCTTGTGTTGAATTAGTGTTGCATACACTATACCCAATTTCAACCTAATCTTACTTCCTCTTGTTCAGGTATTACGATTTGAGTTTGCAGCGTGGCTGATTGCTCATAACAGTAAATATTAGCCATTTTCACCATGAGATGCAGCAATGCTGTTTCCATGCTTCCATGATGAAGATTAAAGTCTCCATAGCCCACTCCATATGGGGGATGAGGAAGAAGAGTTGGAATTAGTTACTATCTAAACTCCCTAGAGGCTGGGTGTGGTGGCTTACACACCTGTAATCCCAGCACTTTGGGAGGCCAAGGCAGGAGGATCACTTGAGCCCAGGAGTTCGAGACTAACCTGGGCAACATAGCGAGACCCTGTGTCTACAAAAAATTAAAAATTTAGCCAGGCGTGGTGGCATGCACCTGTAGTTGCAGCTACTCAGGAGGCTGAGATGGGAGGATTGCTTAAACCTGAGAGGTTGAGGCCACAGTGAGCCGTGGTCAATCCACTGTACTCCAGCCTGGGCTATGGAGCAGAGCAAGATCCTGTCAAAAAAAAAAAAAAAAAAACAAAAAAAACTTCCCTAGAAAAAGATGACAATCAGAGAATGAAAACTGTGCCTTAAGTGAGTTGGATTTGCAATTTTTAAATTTTCTGAATAGAATTAAAGGCCAGTTCATCTTCAGATTTTAAGGAAAGGATCCAGTGATTTCTCTTACTGAAGTGTATTCCCAAAACAATATTACAAGTGAAAAAAAAAAAAGCATTTCATGACATTTGAGTGGGTGTGAGACTCAGGAAGATCAAATTAATGAATATGTGAATTTCTTCTCCAGTTATAGAAAATAACCATGTGATTAAATCAGTTCTGCTAATTATCACTGAGACAGGACACCACCTTGATGTATAAACCCCACCCATGTTTCTTAAACCAGGGTCCTGGGGTCACAGGAACCACTTTACTGGGGCACTCTTACCTATGGGTTTGAACTTCAGATAGCCTCAGTTTGGGGGAATAGAATGGCCTTGACAGTAAAAGTCTGTAAAGAAGGCAGTGCCCATGGTAGCCTTGATCTCTGCCTATGCAAGGCGTACCCGCCTGAGCACCCTACGCTTACTTTCACTGTGTCCTGGCAAGGCTCCAGCAAGCAGTGAAGACCCACCTGTCCATCCCCTACACCCCCACCTTTTATTAATACATCTCTCACCCCCAAGGCTTTGGAAGAATGATTCTTGAATGTCAGTATCAAAATGGAGAGGCCTTGGAAATGGATTGTCTATTTCCCCAGAACACTTGTGCAGTTGGAGAAACTGAGGACTAAAGAGAAGAAATGACTTCTGTAAAGTCATGCAGATAGGGCAGAGCCAAAACCAGCCCCCAGGGCCCTGGACTTGAATCTGCTTCCCTGTCTGAAGCCTGAGTGTCAGAGGGCTCAGAGGGCCTGGGCATGGAGTCCAGGGTAAAGCAGGGTTCATGTGGCATCCCTGGTCCTGAGCACTCTGAATGGTATGTGCACACTCAAGACCTTCCTTCCTTCCATCCTTCTGTCTTTTGGCTTCTTAGCCTCGTAGTTCAGTGTTGTTTTGTTTTGTTTTGTTTTTCAAAGAGGCAACCTCAGTAATTCCAAAATCACCATTTCCTACGCTTACAGTGTCTCTAATACTAGCAATATTTCTTCAGTCCATACACTGTTGTTTGAGAGTTTGTATCTCCAACCCCCATACTGCAGGTGACTATTATTGGATACACACTTGGGATCCCAGATGTCATCATGGGCATTACTTTCCTGGCAGCAGGGACAAGTGTTCCAGACTGCATGGCCAGCTTAATTGTCGCGAGACAAGGTATGGATTATGCCCCAGCCCTCACAGTCATGCAGTGCAGGCCGCTGCATCCTCATCCCTGCCTGACTTATAGTTGACCAAGTTGTGGCTCTTATGACTGGCAGTTGTCAAGTCCTACTATGGAGAAAAACTGTGACATCTAGAAAGCATCATTTATTAGATTCCATCCACAGAGAGAATGCTACCAAGATGAACTCCAGACCTCTATCTAGAAGCTTTTGCTAGAGTGGTTGTTTAAAAGCAAAAATGTTCTGAGGTCAGCAGTCAATGTGAGATTGAACAGAGGCCAAGCCCAAACTTTATACAGCAAATGAGCTAATAACAAGAAACATTCTGGTCCAAGAAAGGCAAAGCATGGGCATCCTATATATCCAACTTCCCCATTCTTCTTCTGACCTCTAGAACGTGTGTAATGTTTTGGTTTGTTTGGTGGTTTTTGTTTTGGGCTTACTACGTGGCATAGGCTGAGCAACACAAGGAGTGAGTGTATAAGCTTTGATGGTGGAACAAAAGAGCTGTAACAAGAGCAGGTTTTACTGACTTCTTCTTTTCTGCTAGCAAGGTAGCATACCAGCATAGACATCCGCAGATCTTCCTCGCAGCGCAGAGTTTGAAAGTATAGGGATGGGGATGGGTGAATAATGGCGTAAAATCTCACAGGAGACAGGAGAAAAGAACAGTGCGTAAAGAGAACGGTTGGCTTTGAGAAGAGGGACAGGACATTTTATTCCTCCAAGATGAAGGGTTGATTGGTTGGTTAGCGAGTTGTGCCTGAGAAACCATGAGATGAGGGGAAAGGAAGAGTGGGAGTATGTTTTCTGGTAGGCAGGGCCCTTACAGAGAATGGGGACAGTTAGGGACAGCAGCTGAGGGAGGAATGGAATTTAACTGAGTGACCTTTGATGTGAGCATGTTAGTTCCCTAGGGAGTCATAAGAAAGTGCCACAACACGGTGCCTTCAAATGACAGAAGTTCACTGTCTCACAGCTCTGGCAGCCAGAAGTCTGAAAGCCAGGTGTCAGCAGGGCTATGGTCCCTTGAAGGCTCTAGGAGAGGACCCTTCCTTGCCCCTTCCTAGCTTCCAGTGGTCGCGCAATCCTTGGGTCTCCCTGGCTTGTAGCTGCATCACTTCAATCTCTGCCTCTGCCTTCATACCACATTCTTCCCTTGGTATGTCTGTGTCGACTTCCTCTTCCTCCTTCTCCTCCCCCTCCTCCTCCTCTTCATCCTCCTCTTTTTCCTCCTTCTCCTTCCTTCTTTCCTTCCTTCCTTCTTTCCTTCCTTCCTTCCTTCCTTCCCTCCTTCCTTCCCCTCCTCCTTCTTCTTCCTCTTTTTTTTTTTTTTTGTGATGGAGTCTCACTTTGTCACCCAGGCTGGAGTACAGTAGCATGATCTTGGCTTACTGCAGCCTCTGCCTCCTGGGTTCAAGCAGTTCTCCTGCCTCACCCTCCTGAG